CAGCAAATTGTAAATTCAACCAAGCCAGTCAAAAGAAGGTGTGAGAATATGAATGTTCCAGCAAATCAAAAGAGAATACCTAGGGAAAACGTGCCCATGATGCTCTTACCAAAAATGAAATGGCTACAAGATATTTCACTAAAGCCCCTTCCCATCTCAGTTCCCTAGAACACACAGTTTTACTTTCTAGCTCTTCACAATGATCTAGAATCCCTGCAATAAGGATTCTGAATTTTTGACATAATGAGCAATAGTGTCAGCAACAAAAATGTCAAAGCAAAACAGAATTACAGAATTAATACACTCAAGTGGTTCAGCATCAAGACTCAAAGAAAATTCCATAACTCTGATAATGAATTCTGTGTCCTATATAAATGAACACCGTATTTGCAAACTGAATTATTGAAGCTCTTGCATAACTGATGAATAAAGGAATGCAGTGTCTGTCTTGAGCACACAGACCAAATCCAAGGCCTTTTTCCCCATGAAGTACTTTAGAAAATTTTTTGATACTTTCACAAAACAATACAAAGATATAATAACACAAGAAATTCTAAAGAAGACTAGTGTAAGAGTCAAAATTATTACCAAAATACTTCCCAAAAATCAGCCCAGACCAAAAGTTACCATTAGGAAATTACCAGGTAAAACCTGACAGTAAAAGAGAACAGGTTATACTTAAGAGCAACAGAAATCACTACATGTGCAGAGTCTTAAACACACCACTTACTGCTTTGACTCATGGTGACAGACCTCCAGTGTGGGATCGTTATAGATGAAAGCTGCTTCTAAATCATTGACTCTCACTCTGTAAATCCGGCACTGCTTACTGTTCAGCTTGATTCTGTTCAGGTTTGCCACTGTGGGAAATATTGTGAGTTCCACATAACCCTACGAAAACACAAATCAAAATCTTCTGTAAAATCTTTAGCAACTCAAAAACTATAGAGATATAAAAAACTATTACTAATATAATTTTTTTAAAAAATCACTAGTATAAAGACGATATTTTCATGTTTAAAAAGGAAAATTAATTGCCCTTTACATTTTCTTTCATACCATTTAACAGGTGAACTTTTGCAGCTGTAAATGAAACATAATAATAAGACAAAACAAAAAATTCAATGTGACTGACAATCATGCCTGTTTTACTGGAAAAAATCTACCTCTATTGACTAGATTTCAAGTTATTAGCAGCATTATGTTGTATGTTTTGGTACCTGAACTTGAGACAAGAATTCTTAAAACCTAAGCAGAATCTTTTAAAACAGATAAGTAAATTGACAAAGATCCTTGAAGGCTTTAGGCCTGAAATGATGAAAGTCTCTTCAAAGCCCAAGTGAACTCACATACAAGGTAGAAACTCTGTAAGCCTATCCCAAACATCAGCTAACTCTATGTGAGCATGAATTTGGAACTGCAAATTGCTTTCTAATATTTACAGTGCAGCAGCCTTCATTTAGAAATCTTTTTCGAGAAGTGCTCACAATTAGAAGGAATTTTATCTCATGCAATGACAGACTTATGAGAAGCATCAGATTAGAAAGTATAACATATGAAGTAGCTGAACAGCATAATTAGCTTGTGAGAGCAGCTTTTTCCTCCAAAAGCATGAAGAAAACTCAGACACTTAATTTCTACTTCACACTTTATTAAGAAATACTTACTACAACAGACTTTCTCTGAAAATTTATGTTGTTGATACAAACTACCTGATGAGTTGTGCTGAAAGAAAAAAAAATAAAGTAAGGTTTTGCACAAATGCCAGCATTTAAAATAATATTTTAACCCAGTTTAACACAGAGCCACACAGCATATATGTACATAAAGATAAATACTGCAAATAGAATATACTTTTATAAAAATCATTAATGATTTGTTTCAATCTTTGATGTGGTCTAAACCAAATAATGAGTAGAAATTACCCACAATGACAGGAAAATCCCCCAAGAAATCAAACACAGTATCATACCAGGATGAACACTGCTGGTAATACAGGAAGATAACATAATGTTTGAACAACAATTATCTTCATGTAAAAATAAAGAACTACAAATGGCAGTGTCCAGGTCTAACACTGTAGTGATGAGCAGTATCAGTAGTGGCATAAGCCATAACACCTGCAACCAGAGACCTGTGGAAAGTTTACCACCAGGAGAGCTGACACTTACACATAATTTATGTAAGCAGGTATTACACATTAAAAGACACAGTATGTGCTTTTACAATTAGCATGCCCTAAGAATTTGTAATTTAAAATAATGCTAATCCATTAAACAAGATAGGTATTTTATACTAGTCAAATGCATTTGCTTAAATTTTGAATGACATATTAGAACTCCTGGTAAATAAAACTGATTTAAAAGGTAGGAGATAATATAATTCCAACTTTTTAAAAATCCTGTAAGTTATTTCTATGTAATTTTCTGTAGTGGGTGTCATCTTTACAGTAGTGCATTTCATGACTCAAGACAAAACCTTAAAATAATTCAACTTCTATGGCACATTATGCTTTATCTGCACATATCCTGTGGATTAAGAAGTGATATTGCTTCAGGTGAGATAAAAAATTCTTACAAGAGAATTACATCTAAAATTAGATTCAGATCTTACTTACGTTAAGTGTATATGAGAAGACTGATTCTACTCAGAAATACATTCATGTAACAGATTTATAAAGGAATCAAAGACGTATAACAAGCAATCTATTAAAATACACCCTCAACTGCTTTGCAGCTTGGTTACAACCCAAATAGTTAATGTGTGAAAACGACAATTTGCTTAACAAAGTGGCTTGATGCAAAGGCAAACATTTTTTTATACATAAAAAGCCCTTAAGTCAAAAGAGCTTTTTGACACAGCATATGGAACATCGTAGTATGGTGTTTAGGACGGACACTGTGAAGCAATGTCCAAAGTGTGCAGAGCGTAATGTAAATATCTTCGTGAGACTGCATGGTTGACAGACTTGCTGCCCATGAGTAAGCCCATTTACACATTCAAACACACATCTGCAACACACATTTTCTGAATGCAGGCTACACCACAAGCAACAGTTCCTTCTTAAATACATCACTATTAAGCAGCCTTTGGCCTGATTCAGCGTGCACTGGTTTCAAGTATAGCAATTTAAAAAAATGGATACTTATAATTTATAGGGTCTTGGGCTTTCAAATCCTTTGTCTCCTTTCTTCCTATTCATCCTGAACCGTAGCACTAAACACACTCTGCTGACCGTCAGACTGGCATCAACATCATCCTCACTCAGCGCGTCCTTCCATTTTCCCCCGTGTCACGCCGTACTGGATCTCTCATCTCCTCAGCGGATGTGTGACCCCCGCAGTCAGGAATCCTCAGCTGGAGCGAGCGCCATCGCTACAGCACCACCAGCAAGCAGTGTTCGTACAAACCCTCCTGTGGGTGCACACGCAGCCCCTCTGTCTGCTGGGGTTACGGAACCAGTCCAGAGGCGCTTCCTCCCCACGGGAACTACGGAAAGCAACCGGCTCAGCGGGCAGCGCCGGGGGCAGCGACGGAATCAGGAGGACCGCGGCCAGGACGGCCGGGCAGGCACCGGGGTCCGCGCTCCTGGGAGCGCCGGCTGGGGCGGCGCCGTCCGCTGAGAGCCGGGAAAGGCGCACAGGCTCGAGCGGGCCGGGCGGTGGCCGCGGGTCTCCCTCAGCAGCGCGCCCGCCGCGGCCCTTCCGCAGCCGCCGCCATCTTGGCAGTCACCCCCGACCCCGCGGGTGAGAGGTCACGGCCCGATTGACTGAGCTCTATCACTTCAGCGGGAAGGGCTGTTGGAGCTTTGCTTTTTACAGAAAGGCAGATCAGCAGCGCCAGCCGGAGAGAATTAAAAAAAGAAAAAAAAAAAAAAAAAAAGGAAGAATAAAATAACCCTACAGAATAACCTAAAAGCCGAGCGGGGCCCCGCTGTATCCCCGTGCGCAGGCGCCGGAGCTCGCGCAGGCGCGCGCGTGCGGAAGGCGGGAAGGGGCGGCGGGAGCAGCGCGCGCCCGGGAAGCGAAGGCGGGTCGGGAGCGCCGGGATCCGCCTGCCACCCCACAGGGATCGCCAGCCTCCTGTGGGAGCAGCAGGGCACGAGATAAAGCTCCTTCATAACCAAGATTGTTATAAGTAACTTCAGATTCGTCTATCTTAGGTGAAAATAAATGGTTGCATCAAAGAAACTGATGGGGAGTTTGAAAGCGTCATTTCATTTTCAATGTGTGGCAAAACCAATCAGGAGCACTACACACTTGGAATGATAACACACACAAAATTAATTTAAACAAACTCTTCTGACGGCTGCAATAAAGCTCTATTCATTAAATACTTAATTTCTTATTTGTTTTACAAAGAAACACCTATGTAAATACAAATTTGGAGCACAAATATAAAAGTATCAATTGTGCTGTGTATTTGAACTAAGGGGCCTTCTGTGATACAATGGAAGGAATTTCCAGGGAGTTTCCAAGGCTTTTCCATCCGTATAACCATTGATCTCTGGCAGTGAACCTTCTGGTGCTGCTGGGGGAGCGGAGCTGCTGGAACCAGACAGCAAACGAGGCAGTCCCTCCCAGCAGAGCCATTCTGCATCTGCACACAGCTGGTCAAACAGCACACCCCTGCACCAGCAACGCGCAGCACAGGGCAGCAATAAACAGAGCTCAGGCAGTAGCTTTTATGCAGCTTTTTATCTGTACCAAATTCCAAGTACGCACACAGTGTGCATCTTAAGAGTTACATTTGATTTAGGAGGAGCTTCTCTACTCTCCCCACTCACTCTACAGCTGGAATGCTGGCAATTCCAAGGTATTTCCTACCTCACATTTGAGTGTGATAGAAAAAATTGTTTTTGTATCAAATGACCAGCATCTGTTAAGCTTAAAATATAAATCTGAAAACTAGCTAATATTAAACTCTGGTTTACTGACATGCAAACAATCATTTTTAATGATTACAAAATTACTATCTCAGGCACACCATTTCATGGCAGTATCACAAAAACACTCTGTTTCATTGATCTACATAGAACAATATTATCATTACAAAACTGTAAGGTTTCAAGGCACAATTTCTATGTGCTGTCATTTGCCCTAAAGAAGTTTTAAAAAAATAATTGTATTACAAAGTTTTGTAGGTTATTTTTAAAAAAGCACAAGTAGTCTTCTGCAAAGCATTAGTTTTACCTCAGCCACATTTTAATGACAGTTTATAGGAAATTTGTAACACAATGTATCCAACTACTCGCTTATATTCACACTTCACTGCAATTAGGATTTTTTGTAATATATATAAGGCCATTCTGCCAAGTATTAAAATGTCAGGTGCTTGTACTGATGTTTTTCATAGACATTACCTTAAAAAGACCCACTTTTCAAAATCAAGAGTGATGTAGTCTCAGTGAGGAATGATTTGTTCATGAGCTTGATGAGCTCTGTGCTATTCAAAATGGGAACACTGCATTGAAACTTTAATCTTTAAGAATGGCCAATAATGGGCAGAAGACTAAAATTTCCATTTTGCTATTCAATTCAATTGATTGAATTATTATCAAGGAGGTTTGAAATTTTCATTTCAGACTTAGAGATAAACAGATTATGTGTATTCAAGAAGTAGAAGTTGGGCAAAGGAAGATTGGCAAAGAAGTCTGGCAAAGGAAGGTGAGCTGAATATCATTCCTTAGAGGGCACAAGTGTCCTCACACTCTCCTTAGCTGAGCAGAAGACACATGTTCAAGCAGCCTAGCTTAAACTCAAGTACACTGTACAATGGTGGTTGGCCACTCTTCTCCCCAGAAGGCAGCAGCAAGCAACATTCACTGTTACTACATTCAGTATCCTCAGTTCTTCAAACAATACTTGTTATGAGATAGGTCTTCTGGAATTATAAACTTTTACACCATCCAGCATTGAGGAGCGAGCATATTTTGTCAGAAGAGCACCAACAGTCTGCTTCTCTGCACACAAGTCTCTACAGAGGAAATAAAGCACATGACATTGGCATTTAGAGATACTCTCCCACAAAATCAATCTGTAAAATATTTGTAACTACAGCAATAAAATGGATTTGGATGTTAGGAAAAAAACCCCAGAACTACTGTAACTGTCACATAATGCTTTAAATTACCTAAAGTTTAGAACTTACCTTGATATTTACAGACTAGGCAAAACTACACTATTTACTTCAGAAAAAAGAATTTTGGGTTTTAGGCAGAGTTTTATTATTACTGTTCTCTAACAGAGTTTTTAATCTAGCAAAAGAGCTAGCTCTGAACTATTCAGTTATATTACAGTAAATTTAGAGCCACTCAAAAAGGGTTGATGCAGTTACTTCTTGGTTAGCATCAACATCTGCTCACATATCTCACAGCTGGACATTCCAGATAATGTAGTAGTCTTAAGTAAGTCTTAACTACCAAAGGAACAAAGGATGCAGTACAGGAAGGACTACTTCTTTATAGTTCTAGTGTTGTAAATATAGAGACTCATTGTAAATGTCAGCAAGTTTAGCCTTTGAATTGCCTGCCTTAATCAAATGAGAATTATCATCCATTTAAACCCAATAGGATCAGCTTTTTACACACATTTAAATCCAAAAAAGAGAATTACAGATCCCAGAGGTGGGTATTCTATTCATATAGAATCCATTTAATTTAAAATGCAAAGTATAATAGTATCACTAAGGCAGTGATAGCTCATCAGAAGCCAGCTATACAAAAAGGGAAGAATATAGTACTAATTATGTTTTAATAAAAATAAATACATCCTTACTGTATATAAGGGGTAATATCCACTTCTGTCCACTTTTCCCGTATGCCAAATAAGCTGTTGAATCTTTCCTGATTGTCTTCAGGTAAGTCTTCCACTTTTAGCAGAAAGATGGTCTCTGGTCTGGAACTTTTATCCACAAGAGCCAAGCCCTGCAGAACAGCATCAGAAAGGAAATGTTAAGTACCAACAGAACAATTAAACTTCCTTCTTTCTGACAATATTCCATAGAAGTTGCTCTTTGCAGATCCAAAGCTTTCCAGAACTGCCCTACCAGAGGCAAAGTGAAGTATCATAAGGGCACTGTTTTACAGGCAGTATTTAAAATTTCCTTTATGATAAGAAGGAAGTGAGAATCCATTGGGTTTCAACATCTCTCTGCCTGCTTTGGGCAAAAGGATTCCAGTAGTTTTTGCTACTCTACTGGCTGTCACTACCATCTGTTCAACAACAGCTTCAGCTTCTGTTCCAGTCACATTCACAAGTAGTAAATTACAGCTGCAACCTTTCTTCAAACAGTGAAACATGCCTGAGTTACAGAAACCTGAATTATCATGATTCCAGACTACTGGTGCTCATAGAGGACATCATAAAGCATACTTGAACTCAAAAGCTGACAGAAACACAATACCCAATAATGGATAAAATCTATATATGACACAAGTCAGTTACAGCCTAGTCATAAAATAATCCATATTTCTTTACGTGTTTACCTGAAGCTGATCAAGCCTTGTGGTCATCCCCTCAGGGACACTCTGTTGCCAGACTTCTTCAAACTCTGACAGGTTGAATTTAACTGCATTCTGCAAAAGCATTTGTGCTATAGCTCTGCATACTTTATCTTCATGCATTTCAAAGAAAACCTCCCCTGCTGAGAAGCAAAAACTAGGTTATCTTGGGTTCTTCCCTTCTGATAAAACAACAGCCTTGTACTTCCATTCTGTTCTACAGTCTTCTATACACCAAGCATCCTTTCTTTTCTTTTCCTTGGGAAGTTATTTGACTTGGTATTAATTTGGATAAATTATGGTATCTTCTCATTCTCAAGAACAAATTATGCAGAATACAGCAGCACTGTCCCAACTACAGCTCTCATTCCTATTTCTGAATAGCTTGTAAACAAAACTTTCTCTTCTTTAATCACCCTTATGAGATTACAAAGGGATGAGACTTCATTTTCTCTCACACTGACTTGGCTAAAATTTTCTGAATCAAATCAGGTATAAACACTTTTATTGTTTCAGCCACCTGTCTGTAATTCAGACTTGTTCCTTGTGCAAACTGCCTAAATATATTAAGACAAGAGTCTGTTGTCACTCCAATGACTTTCTTATGTTCTTTAAGGTTGAGTGAAACTCCTACTTTAGCCAAAGGTGAGATGAAAGCCACTGTGGGGAAGAATTCAGACTGAATTAGGGCAGTGCAGTATTGTATCTGTGAGACGGACAATGGAAATCTAATCACTACAACCAGCAGATCTTGTGATGCTTTTCAAGAGATCAAAGGCAGATGCCTACTTCAGGCAAGCTGAATTCATGCCATTGAGTACTCATAATAGCACAATTAATTACTTAAATATCTGAGATCTTCTAGGGTATCTAAAGAGAGATGTCATTTAAATTTTACTAGCGAGATCTCTTTGGTCATGAAATTATGGCTTGTACACACCTAAAAAATCAGTTCCAGTACCTCTGTTCACAATTGTCTTGTACAGTTTAATAGCCTTTTTTTCCTATGAAACTTCCTTTAACAATTGTACTGATTTTTAGCCCAGTTTGCTCCCTCCTTATACTGGCAGTGTAGCAGAGTCATTTGTTTGGGCCATTCTTCACAAAACCTACATTTGCTCACTAATAACTATTTATTTTATGCAAAGTTAAACCATGCAAGCTTTCCCAAACTTACCATCATCAACGTATTTCCTGCCGTAGCTTAAAAGAATGTGTTCTATCATCTCTCTGGAAAAAAAAAATCAGAAAACATGTTCTAACACTACTAGGACACTACTGAAACAGTTACCAAGAAGATTAAGAAACAGGTATGGAGAAAAAAAATAAACTGAAGAGAATAGCTGAAGAGACACATTTTTGTGGGTGAAATGAAGAAGCTTGTAAAAAAGTAAAAGAAGTAAAAGAGAGAAGGATCTCCCCCAAAGGTCTCTTCCACTGTCTACTTATAACTAGCAAAGACTAAAATGCATAAGGGAAATAAGGAATAGACTCTTGCAATATCACTTTTTTTCCAATGAGAAAAAATTGTATCAGCAACAGTGTGGCCAGCAGGACCAGGGCAGGGATTGTCCCCCTCAGCACTGGTGAGGCCACACCTCAAATCCTGGGTCCAGTTCTGGGCCCCTCACTACAAGAAGGACATTGAGGGGCTGAGTGGGGTCAAAGGAGAGCAACAGAGCTGGGGAAGGGTCTGGAGCACAAATCAGATAAGGAGCAGCTGAGGGAGCTGGGGATGTTTAGCCTGGAGAAAAGGAGGCTCAGGGGAGACCTTGTCACTCCCTACAACTCCCTGAAAGGAGGCTGTAGCCAGATTTGCAAGACTATAATTTTAATAGACAGTTAACAAGTACTGCAATTACTCATAGTTAATAATGAATGTAGGCAATTGTAAGTACTAAAAATAATTGTTTACCTGGGTTCTAGAGATCCAAGTTCTTCAAGGCAGGCACAGAGAGGAACCTTACTCAAAGGCCAGGACTCTGAGTCTATTAGCTGAGTCACATGATTCAAGAGTTTCATCTCATAGTCAAAGTCTAGAATTCTCCAATATCCTGCCAAACAGAGCACCACAAAACACTGTCAGAAGGAAAACATTAACACCTTAATTCTATTGCCACTAAGATACATTACTAGAGTCTGGACATCCAGGTCACACCTTTACAATATGCAGCAGCATCGTGTTGTTTTCAGGATTAAAAGCTGAGAATAGGAGCTAAATAATAAGAGCCTATGTAAAGGAGAATGAAACTTAATTATCTCAATTGTTGGGAATTCTTTTGTAATTCTTTAACTGCCATAAAGACACGAAAAATATCACTCCAAGATGAATCAGATGTGGAATAACTAATGCTTAGTTCAGGAACAGAACTGCATGAACAGGACTGGCTGCATTGGCCCTACAAAACAACAGCTCAGGTCCAGAGAAGTTCACGAAAATCCAGAAACCCAGATGACTCTAGGACTGCCATCACCTTGTGTCCCAGTGAGGGTATGGGCAAGGCCAATAGGGAATAGGACCTGTCCAAGGTGAGGCACTGTTCAAGCCTTTCCTTTCTTCACGTGACAGGAAGACACTAAGATAAACCAAGTCCAGGAGGAAGAAAGGACTATGAAAAGGATGGGGTTACCCAAGAATCAGCTATTTTTGCCTCTAGAACTACAGAAAGCAGCACCCATTCATTAATGAAGAGCGTTAAAAAATATTCATGCTGTGGGTGGGATACTCTGATACCAGTGTTTGTAGCAGCAAAGAAGGGGTTATCCTGGAAAGAGAGAGACTGGCAGTGCCTGCTCAGCTTCATCCTTCTGATCAGATTTGTAGCAGCAGAGGACATGGATCTATGGAAACAAGTCTTAGAACTTTGAAGTAACTTGCACCTTGAAAGATAAGGACATGGAATAGGCCTTAGAAAAAAGAAACTTACATTTTGGGGAAAATAGAGAGTTATTTCCTCATAGGTAATAATATTTTTTAGATACAAATACCTTCGATTTTGCAGGCATCTATAACCTGCAATTGGTGGAGTATTTCTTCTTCACTTGCTTGAATGAGACTTAACAAATCTTCTGTTGTATACTGCAACAAGGGGGGAAAAAAAGGAAATAAAAGAGGTTATTCTTACTCCTTCTTTGCTTCAGCAACTATACTAAAAGCATTACAAGCTATAATGAAGGAAAGACTGAAGATAGATGTTTTTTCCCCCTGACTGAATTTTCTAAGGTTTGCCACACTCTCTGGAACTCTTCTTGTAACTTAAAACATTTTCTCAAAGGGTTATTCAATATAAAAGTCAGTCTAACCACAGCGAAGTCTGTACCAAGCAAGTACAAGACCAAAGTCTGTATATGCAAAATACCTATATTTCCAGAATGTCAAACTAGCACAAGCAGACCTTGTAAGTGAAGTATCCCAACAAGAATAAAAAGTCAATGTGTTCTGGCTTTTCTGAAATCACATACTTTAATCAGTGAGATTCAAAGAAAAGGCAAAGCAAAAATCACTTATCACTTTTGGACAGAAGTCAGAACCTGCACTTAGCACCTCCACTGAGGGAAAGCCTCCTCCACCATCACCTCAACAGCTACATGTTGTGTTTTGGTGTCTGCTAATCAGCTGGCACACACACACAGCACAGACCCAGCCAGAACACAAACACCTCCCTGCAGAACAGTTATGTGCTGAGATGGGAAGGTGCTGTGGTGATGGGTTTATAAAGGTGTGGGTGGATCAGAAGTTATCATGAGGAGTGAAGTAAATGGAAGAAATACCAGACTTTAATGCACTGGAAATAGGACACCAATTCCTTTATTCACAGTAGAGTCTTTTTAATCAACTCTAATATTAAAGTTCTGTTGATTATAGCTCAAAAATATTTTCTATCAGAAAGAAAAACATTGGATTGAGATCTATCTATGAGAACACAAATGGAACATACCAACACTAAATCTGCAACATCCATATGTTAAAAAAACATTTAATAAATAAGAAAGGCCTCCACTTCCTGCTATACTGTTCCTGTCAGATGATAGCAATATGCTATTCCTATCATCAGGCCAAGCTCCCATCAGTATGTCAATGAGGGATGACCCTATTATACAGCACTTAAAAAAAAACACTGCTAGCAATTGAGAGCAAAAATATCCCCAAATCAGTATGTGTGTTTGAAGCTTATTGCTGCCATTCAGATGTCTTGAACAGAACTCCTTGGGATATGTTTCTGCTTTGAGGCAAGTCCAGCAATCCCAACAGCTTTTTTCAATACATCACTGCTCTCAGCTCTGATGCTTTTATCAGCTGCATTGCCCTTGCAAATATAAAATGGAATGGGCTGACCTTGCATCGTGTCCACACCAGCAACTTCCAGATAATGTATTTAATATGTTTCTTGTCGTTTTTCTTATCAGATGTCTATGATCATCTGAGTATGCCCTGTCATTTCACAGTAAAATTCAGTACTAGCCTATACATTTATAAGCTTTCCTCTACTTTGCTAAATCAAAACACTATGCAACAGGTTCCCTACAGTGCCATAGATCTTTTATGGCTCTTTTGATAGGGCTCTCTGTATATGATACAGTCCCAAAAATCACGAGACTCAGCTTACAGTAAACAACCAAAAGAGTAATTTGTTTTCAAACAGATTAAAGGTGGCCCATTAATTTCCAGCACACGATAAATGTTAAGTGTAAGCAAACAAAACAGTGGAAATCATTACTACATACACTGTTTGGTATTTCAGTGAAAATTAGCCCTATAGGAAAGAGTTTTCCCCTGGAGACCTTTCAGATTCATTTACGAGTTCCACCAGAGGCAAGGTTAAGACTTGTCTACATTTATCAGATATATCTAATTGTTATCCAGTGAGCTCATAGAGGAAATGCATTCTCCTTCAAAAATAAATGGTGATCAATCCTCAAACCAGTCATTAATGTTTGGGAGACACTGACATCTTTTTAATAATACCCAATACTATGAATAAACACTATTTCATATGACTTTTTCATGTTGCTAGCCTTTGACAATGCTTATGATTTTCAGATAATTTAAGCCCTTTAACCTTTGCCATCCCTTATTTTGCTCTATGTCCTTCTATGCCTAGATCAGCACAGGTAGGCAATTCTGGGGGCAAGATTCTGTAACTAATCAGAAATCAGCCTGTTAATCATCCAAGAAGAGAGAAGCATCATGTCTCTCCAGAGAAAAGTAACATCTGTGTTTGCATATCCAAGCACATGCAGATGGTTTGGTAGTGTCAGCTTCAATCAAGCCTCAGCATAAAATATGTGGGAGCAACTACTTTTTGGTTTTAAAGTCAAAAGGAAAACCAACCAAGCTAACAAAACCCCAGAATTTTTATCAGCCTTTCAGCTGAGATCATATACTGCACAGTCCAGGTCTCCCTATTACTCTTTAGGTCCCAAATTAAATTTGGAAACACCTTAAGACAGCAGGACAGGATTTCATTTGTGTTTTCCCTTCTTTTTAGCATGTCTTATTCCATGCCTTGTATAATCCCTGCTACTCTCTTCAACCCCCTACTTCTCCTTGACTGGCTCTAACCTCATACATGGCAGACCCGAAGAAGAAGGAAAGGCTGCATTATACCGTAGTCAACATGTAACTCTCAAGGAATTTAGAAAAGATCCTGAAGGTTGTGCTCCAAGAAACTTCCCATAGGAAAAGAGAAATGCCCAGTCTCCTTCCATGTCCTTCATTTTCCTCTTTTAACTAACAAAAAGATTGCTTACCTGTACACACTGGAAGTGCTAACAACAACCAACTTATTTAAAATAGAAGGGTTAAAAAATTAACTGTAAGAAGCACTGTGAATCATGTGGGGAAAGGGATTTTTCTACTTCAAGATGCTTCCTCACTTTAATTTTCTCATTACCAATTAGAAGAAAGCAATTTACCCAGCTGATTTACCTTTGAAAATGTTGAAGCCTGATCTTTCTGACTATCAGGCCCTTCATATGGATCTTCCATTAAAAGCTTCCTCAGTTTCTTCAGCTTTGGTCGACATCTCCTTAATTCCCAATAGTTCTTGGAGAAACCAGCAATCTACAAGAGAAAACAGCAACTCTTTAAACTTTTTAATATAGCATCTGGATTCAAAGCTGCTTACCAAAAACTATCAGCAAGCAGTGTTAACCCTGTCACTGAAAACAAGTAACTATTAATAGGGTAATTACTTTAGAGATAAAACAATCATTTCAGTGTTTTCAATGTTTTCAATTTCAATGTTTGCAATTAAAAAAAATTACTACAGACAATGAAGAATTAATATCCAGTGTTGATTGATAAAAAATATGTTTGTAGTGCATAAGACAAAGGTAATAACTCAACTCTACATGCAAATGACAAGAGACCACCACGGGATGTATTTCTGCACAATTATCCTCATAACTGCTTTTTGTCTTAACAGTAAATTGTATTATTGCCATGAAAGCCCTCCTGTACTAACCTGTGTCTATCTTCCCCACTTCTTCCCATGCTTGGGATCTACTTCATGGTCTTTTTAATGAATCATCATAGTCCTAAGCTCAAGCAAAGCCGATATTAACAAGGACAGAAAGCTACACTGGCACACAACTGACAAGACACCTCTGTTCCTTGCCCTGAGCCAACACACAAATGAAAAGCATGCAACAGGAAGTCTGGCTGTTCTTGATTCAACAACACTGACTTACCAAAGCTTTACCTTCAGAGTAATCCTGAGGTGTTTCATGGGGTACAGCTTTGACTTACTACAAGAGTCTTTGAAGAGGCCAGACTATTGGAGGCCTTTCAGCATCATTTCTATTATTTACCAAACTGACAGAAATTGGAACAGAATCACAGAGGAGAACAGGCTCCAGCTTAGTGACTCTTGACCCAATCAATGGTCCCATGTTAAAACAGCTTCCACGAAAAAGCCTCTAGGCAGTGCTTTAAAATACCCTAAGTGCTTTACTGGAGTACTTGAGGTATTTTAGAAGCCCTCAATTAAAAAAAAAAAAGAAAACAAAAAAACCCCTAAAACTTTAAAATAATATTCTATTTAAATCAACTATAAGCAAAACCACCTATACATAGAAGAAACTGTATACAAATTCTAATACACAGAAATCTCTCAATTTTAATCTATTACGTAACTGGCTTGGTAAAAAATTCAGCTAAACACCAACTTCCTGACAAACTTCCAAGCTTCATGTCAATTAGTATTTGCTTAAGGGCTAGGCTTTTTTCCTGCCAAGTTGTTTTCTGATCATTTTGGTAATAAGAAGATACTCTGCAGAGAAAAGAAAATAAATAATTCTAATTAATATTCCAAAGCTCATAAACTGAGATAAGCTGTGTGAGGTGAATAAAATGGCAGATGCTTTGGCTGTATCAGCCGTGCAAGTGATACAAAGATCAGCACCAAGACTGCAAGTGAAGGGCAGTGAAGCCCCAGAGTACTGAGGACATATAGTATCTTTTGCTATGTTTCACAATTTGCAGTCTTAATGAACCACCTTACATTTTTTATATCATTTTGAGAGCTCTTAGAAATAAAACTTTTTAAATAGTTCCTAAGCAAATCACATTTCTGTGATGTGTAACGTCACAGGAATAGCGAAATTATTAAATGTAGCAAAACAAAAGTATATGGAAGAATATGACTTTCTCATTAATCTACTTCAGCTTGAATTAACTTTTTACACTAGCTCATTAGACTTCATGGAAGAACTGATGTTGAAGTAGGATTATTCCTCAATGATGCCATTATGTCCATTACAGAAAATAATTAACTAATAGTATTTGCCCAACTATTTTTAATATAATTTTATTAACTATGCTTCAGGAGAGCAGAGAACAATGAATTCTTAAACTGAGAACTCTAAAATCATTCACTTTGACAAATGTTTTGATATGCTAATTGAAAGAGCCACCTTTGAATACATCTCTGTATTTAAAAAATAGTATTCAGATGGTAAAATCTCCCTTTTGGGGAAAGCACTCCTAAAAATCAACATGTAAATAGCTTACTTTAAAAACAGTTGCTAACACTTTGAGAAATTTTATTTTCTTTGCAAGCTTTTAATACCTACCACAAGTAATTACTATGCAATGAAAATAAACCACAGTTTTAACTTCTCTGAAACAATAATAACTATACATTACAGAGAAAGTTCAGCTGCCTAAAGAAAAGCTATAAAGCAATTTTGGATGCCCTAAGGCATAGCATGGCCCTGTATAAAAAGCATCTTTGTAAAGACAGCCTCAAGGAACTGGTCAATACACAGAGAAGCTACAGCAGACTCGTCCTTTCTCCAGTGGCAGCCTGCAATAGTGGCTAAGCAATACCACAGGGCCTCTAAAATGGCATTAGAAGCCTATGCTTAGGCAGCTGAATCCCAGCTGGGATTCACATCTTGGACAGCTTGGACAAAGTTCAAGAAATTACAGAGAAAAAGAAAGCAGAGAATTAAAGGAAACAAATAAAAACCCTGAAAGACATACCTGTGAATGAATAATATTACAAGATGCCTGATCAGCATTCAGCTCCTCTGGAGTTTTGCAGCCAGGAACAAACAGCAGCATATTTGAGGTATCTGCTATTTTCATGTCATAAGTTTTATCTTTGCTGCACAACACTGCGTGTTCATCCTTCTCACCACGAATTATTAGGCTGGAAAAAAAAACCCAACATGGAAATAATGATTTATTTTTACCTCTGTTTCAGGATAATATTTTCTCACATTCATACATTTGTAAAGAATTACAAACTGCAGCTCTGTTTGGTAGCAGCAGTCACAGTTCAACAAAATATAAAGATGCAAATGTCAATTAATCAAATTGACTATGTTTTCCCCTCTCCTTTTAGTGGGAAAACTCAAAAGACAAGCATTCCAAGTTTTCATGAAGAACACAGTTGAATGCCTATAGTCATACACCAATACTCTCAACACTCCTAAAACAGGGATGAAGTGATGCTTAATGTGTGAACTAGTTCACCAATCTCAGAAACTCAGAGTTGTTCTTTAATGAGGACTCAGGCTGGCCCACTGTGAAACAAGAAAGCAAACAGAAACTGTGTTTATTGTGCAGAGCCCTTCAGATAATTAATACCTATTTTCTTGCAAGTAATTCCAAGCAAGAAAAAAAAAATCTTCTAGAACAACTCTGGACAAAGAGACCTTGTAAAGCACCCTCTTCAGCTCACATACTTGATGAAGTAAAGATTCTCCATTAGGATGTGATAATACCAAAGCAGGGCCACGAAGGGGAACATTCAGTTCCTCCCAGGCTACATACACTGACCTGAGTGCTCAGATTCAATTCAATTAAATGCTCCTCTCGTTTCCCAAAGCCTGCATGCATGAACAATGCTCAGCTGTGCCCCAAGGGATCAACATGATGCAGGCCTCTAATTGATAATACTGCATCAGTATTGCACTAAATAGGAATGGGCTTACTAACATGCATGTCAGATAACTACCTTCTTTAGAGAGACTTCTCATTTTTTATCAGTTTTCCTTATGTCACTGGCATTGCAGTAAAGGAAGAAATTTAAAACAGTATCAAAACCTTATCTAGAACCTGCTCTTGGTTCAGAGTTTGGTGGCACATAACCATCCATAATCTTATGCCCATGCTAATACCGCACATCCTTCCTCGCCAATCTGTCTAACTTGTAGGCAACCTGCCATGCATCAGGCCACGGGAGTTCTAATAGGAAAATCTCAAAGCCAGAAGGATTCTTTCAGAGACATGATATCTTTTCTAAACCTGTATTTCTGATCACAGAATCACAGACTATCCCGAGCTGGATGTGACCCACAAGGATCACTGAGTCCAGCTCCTGGGCTGGCACAGGACTGCCCAAAGAATCACACCGTGTGCCCGAGAGTGCTGTGGCAGGCTTGGTGCTCTGACCACTTTTTGGGGAGCCTATTCCAGCATCTTCTGAGTTTTGTTTAGAACTCTCCACAGCAGGACGTTTTCCATGAAAAAAAAACCAAACCAACAAAAAACCACCTAAAAATTACACACAGACAGAAAATAAACCAACAAAAACAAACCAAATACGCTTCTTATAAGCGTAAACAGTTTTTAGTTTCCAGTGTAACTGAGACAGGTTTGAGGGATTTAAGGGGCAGACACGCACAGCGCATCAGAAGAACACGAGCGCGGGCACAGCCCCGTGCCCGGGACAGCCCGGCCCGCCCGCCGTACCTGCGCCCCGCCTCCAGCTCGGCGCACAGCCCCGGCTCCAGCTGCAGCAGGCAGCACTCGCCGCCGCCGGCCTGCGGGCCGAAGCTGAGGCAGTGCACGGCCGGCAGCAGCTCCGCCGGGTTCAGCTTGGCCGTCTGCAGCGTGGCGTCCACCTCGGCGCGGCTCCTCATGGCGGCCCCGGCCCGCTCCGAACTGCGCGCCACGGCCTCCATGCCCCGCCCGCCCAGGCGGGGCCGGGCCTGCGGGGAGCGCGCGGCGGCGGCGCGCGCAGCCTGCGTTGGTTGCGCGGTTGGCGGGCGGACGGACGGAGGGACGGACAGCGGGGCGCGCGGGAACGCCTCGCGGTGGTACCGAGGGGAAGGACTCGCTTCCTTCTGCTCCTCTGCCGGGTCTAATCTTGGACAAACCTCCCGATTTCTGTCTGGCTGCACAGGAGCCGGGCTGTGCTGCAGTGAAATCTCTCGTTCTGCCAAAAATGCAGTAAAAATATACAAAGTGCGCTAAACTAAGTAAAATGAAAAAACATTGCAAAAACGGGCCCAATATGGAAGTCACTGCCCAGCTCTGAGGCAACATAAAATCATAGACGCGTTTAGGATGGAAAGGGCTTCCGAGATCTAAAATCCAATCCTTTATCCAGTACTGGCAAGTCCAGCACTAAGCCATGTCCCTGAGTGCCACACCTGCCTGTCTAAAACCCCTCCAGGGATGGTGACTCCGCCGCTTCCCTGGGCAAGCCTGTTCCGGTGCCTGACCACCTTTCCTGGGAAGACATTTTTCCCACTATCCAACCTAAATCTCTGCTGGTGCAACCTGAGCCCACTTCCTCTCATCTGTGGAAACCCAGGGCACCGAGAGTATTTCTCTGTCTGCTCTGGGGTGTCCTGACCCCCAGGGAGCACTGACTTTGACCCTCATTCATGGAGAAAGTTTCCTAGACTTCAAGATAGACTAAAATCCACAAAAGTGTGAAATAGATTATAGAGAGTAGTGTATCATTCAGTGAGAAATTTAAGTTTTGGGATTTTTAGTTGTGGATAGAAGCAAGATAGAGAACACAAGGTGGTGTCCTGAGTTTCTTCTTCATGCTTCTTCTTCATAGGTTTAAGTAGCATTTTGTAATTAGGTAAAAAAGTCCACATTGCAGACTCTTTAAAATCAGTTATTAAATTAAAAGAAAAATAATCTAGGTGTCAGTTCTTAATTAGATAGCTTAGACCTTGTAACAAGAGATTGTTAGCCATTTTGTGCCTTCTAATGAAAAGCTGCCGAACTCACACTACTGAGACTGTTTTGCTAATAACAAATAATAAACACTTGAGTCCGAACATGAACTACCGTCTCAAGTGCCTTCAATCCAAACCCAAAGAAGCCAACGGCTAAGACCCCCACACTCATCCTGTTACTTTTCAGCTGGGATAATTCCTGGCTGGCTGCAGCCTCCTTTCAGGGAATGGTCGCGAGCAATAAGGTCTCCCCTGAGCCTCCTTTTCTCCAGGCTAAACACCCCCAGCTCCCTCAGCTGCTCCTCATCAGACTCGTGCTCCAGACCCTTCCCCAGCTCTGTTGCCCTTCCCTGGACACACTGCAGCCCCTCAATGTCCTTCTTGTAGTGAGGGGCCCAGAACTGGACACAGCTCTCGAGGTGTGGCCTCACCAGTGCTGAGTACAGGGGGCAATCCCTGCCCTGGTCCTGCTGGCCACACTGTGTCTGATCCAGGCCAGGATGCCATTGGCCTTCCTGGCCACCTGGGCACACACTGGCTCTTGTTCAGTCCCTCTTGACCAGCATCCCTTTTCCACCTGACAGCTTTCCAACCTCGCTGTCCCAAGCCTGGAGGTGTGCCACTCTCAAAGTTTTTCCTTGACACCAAAGCATGACAGCAAGTGTAGAGAGAGGGAGGTTGAGTGTGCAAGCCACCACAGTGGAGCCTGACAGTGGGTGGGAAAGCACTGCTGAGGTGGCTGCCGTGCACTAGTGTCACTCACCCCAGGTCCTTCTGTCCCTCTGGGGACACTCTGACCGAGGGCAGCTACTTGCAGGCTCTCATCCATGCATGACCCCTTAGGAAAGGGCTTGCACAGCCTCCACACAGAGGTTTGTCTCCCTGTGACTCAGGGCTCAGCTCAGGCTCTTGCTGTGGCCTGATGTGGCTACATCTGCCAGAGGAAGCCGTGAGGAAGTGCTTGAGCTAAAGCCATGACACAAATGAGTGGAAGCTACATATATTATATATATATATATATATATATAAATTATATATATGTTGGAACTGAAATGTAAGTGCTTGTGCCGTCTGCCATCTTTCTCTGTCTGTCCCTCATTTACCCTTGGAAGTTGCTGTTTAAGGTCAAGCAGATTTGGCATGTAAATTTCCTGGAATTTTGGTAGAAATCAGTGGCTGGATGATATATTAAAACCCCTGCTTGGGGGAATGCAGCTCTGATCCATTCTAAGAGGCAGAAGCCAACTGGCCTATCACCAAACACATGGACATAAATCTATAGAGATGTCTCATTTCTCAGGAAACAGCTGGTATTATGCATCTGTTTTCACTGAGATTGCTTTAGAGCTGTGACCTGACAAAAACAGGTTTGTCTAGGAACTCATGAAGTTGGTTTCTTGAAACATGGATGAATCATTCAATGAATTTGAATTGCAGAGAAAATGAGATCATGAACTATCAATGTTGCTGTCAATTTATAAGCATGGCAAGCTTATAAATGCATGCTATGGCAAGAGAGCTTGGTAAGATCCTGAAATTTTATATTGATGCTGTGGGGTTATTTATTTTTATTTATTTGCTTTGGAGTTGCTATAGCATAAATGAGTTCTGTTTTCAGTTTGAGCTGGTCTGGTGGACTGAAAACTGTCAGGGAGCAGGAGCGTGTAACATCGTGGTACAAGCAGGGGTGAAACTCACCTGCAGGAGAATGGAAGCAAGAGTAAATTCAGCCATCCTGACTTGAGGAAGCAGTAAATTCAGCTATGAGTGTGAGGTAGAAGGTGTACACCTGTCAGCATAAGGGACATGTAGACTGAACTGCCAAATAGCCTTTGCATCCTCAGCTGGGCTGGGGACAAGGCAGGAATGAAGTCAAGCCTCAAGCAAGATGAGCTTTGACATAGTTTTTCAACTGACAAGTGTTAATGGAAATTCCTGTTAATGGAATGTGTTTGAGTGAAGTTAGCAAACAAAAAAGGGATCGTTGACGATTGTTATAGTCTTGCCTTTGAAGTCCTTGGCCCTGTTTAATCTTTCCCAGAACTCAAACATCAGGGATGTGAGCCATTGAATGAATGAAGGGCATCTGTGACAAATCAAATCAAAGAAATAACTCCAAAACTCCACACTGAAACACAGAATGATGAAGCAGGAGATAACAGAGCACCGTAGCACTGTCAGGCTCTAGTCATTAGGTAGCGTGTTAGGGGGATGACTTCCCAGTGTGATTGCAATTTAAGTGCTTGGAGCTCTACAGTAAAATGTAGTTAGAAAATAGGGCTACATGAAATGGGGTGTTCAAGTGACAAAGATGTACACACTAGAAATTTACAGATGTCCTTTAAAGTACAACAGAGGTAGCTGAGGAAAAAAAATAAATAAAGCCACACTGGAAAAACTGACACAGTGCCAAAGTTGAATATAGCAACACATTATCAGCTCAGTGATAATTACACAATTTACAGTTACAGTTCTTGGAAATTATTCCACAAGAGAGGCTCATTTTGATAAAGCCTCATAAACCCTAGTTCAAGGATTTCTTTTTTCAGCTGGAAATGCCATCTGCAATATGTAAAATTAGTATGTGTGTTATGTTTTCACTCATTAAATGACAGTTTCTCATTGTCTAGAAATGCCTGCCATCGGATGTGCTCATTGTGTGTGAAGGTGACCACTGAAGCTCTAGGTGTGACTGGGGTTAGAGCTCTGAACGCTCTTTCAGCACATCACAGACTCCTGTGAGACACTGGGAGAATGACTGTCTACAACGACTGTGTTACATTTCCTTCCTAGGAAAACAAGAAAGAGAAAAGTCCAAACAGAAAATATCATTATGCTATTGAATAAATCCATGGTGCACATATCCCAAATAATGATTGTCTAGTCTGTCTTAAATATAAGAACTGGGGATATATAATGATGAAAATGAACATGAATGATGAAATACATAATGATGAAAAGAACAGAAAGTAATGGATAACATGAGAGAATGAATTTCTATGCAACACATTGAGAAACTTGGGAGATGTGGTGAAAGTCAAAATTACTGTGATTCACAGAAGAGTTATACAAGTTCATAAAGATGTTCTTGTCTCTGTTAATCACAATATTCAGGTTTTAGTCATAACTCAGGATCCTAAATAAACTCAGACCCCCTAAGCCACCAGAGCACACACTCTTCTGCTCTCCATTGGGGTTGGTTATTGAGACATACTTTGATTTTTTAAACTTTTTTTTGTAGTGAAATGTAAAATAGCAGAACAGTGGCTTGCATATTCTCTGTTGCAGACCTTGGTTCATTTGTATTACTGTACCCCAGTAAAACCGTCATACCTGATGATGTCAGCCAGAAAAGCACCACAAAGCAGGAGCTAATGAGTCAAAGACTCAAACAGAGAAAATTTCAGCCAATTAGCAGAATAACCAGATAGCTCATTGCTACCTCAGCCAAGGATGTCTTGTCAGTCTTAATAGGCCACCAGGGAGATGCAAAACACATATATTCAAATTAGGAGGAAACAAACAGCTGTAACCAAACCTAAATATTCATGTAAACCATACAATAGCTTGGAATGTTTTGGTGACATACAATTGGTTCTGGCCTGCAAATACTGGATTAGAAACATTCAACCACAAAGCTGGAAAGCATACACCAAATAGTCAGAGCTCAAACATGGTCAAGACAATTTGGAAATGACTTTGAGAATGTCACTGCACACTGTTGTGACAAGTAAGAACCCAAATGCTCAATGCTTATGAGACAACCAGCAATTAGAGGCCTGTTTATTTGCTATGTTATTTCTTTGCAGGGATGGCATGTGTAATTGCAAACAAAGGCAGAGGATCAGTCATGCAACACTGATTTGAAGATAAGGTGGGGTGAACCTGAGCAAGCTGGTACCCAGCCTACATTCAGAGCTTCTCCCAGTCTCAGCCAGTCAGCCGGGACATTCATTGCTGCACAGCATGTCCTCACAGGGTAAAAATGGTGCCATGG